CTCAGCAGTGCACTTCGTTGATCTGCCTATTCTGCTCCCCACTGTCTCTGGTGAATCCTCTCACCGCCCCTGCACCTCTGGCCGGTACCCCATTTCTGTATGCATACATAAATCAATCGTAAAAAAGAAAGTTATTTCAAGACTGAATCCCCTTCAGTTGCGAGATGGTCTGGTGGTGTTGATCACACGCTGGGTGGCTTCTGTCCAGCCTAAGTGCAGTCCTCTTCCTGTCTTGCAGGATCTAGATTCGTCATCACGTCCACGGGAGCCTTGTACATTAAAGATGTCCAGAACGAGGACGGACTGTATAACTACCGCTGCATCACGCGGCACAGGTACACCGGGGAGACCAGGCAGAGTAACAGCGCTAGACTTTTTGTATCAGGTAAACACCCGGCGAGCCCGCGCTTACTGTTCATTCCTGCTGTCCCTTCTCTGGTGTCCTGCGGGCCCCACAACTGTGCATTCATGACTGAAATGAAGCCTTGGTTTTTCCCCAGATACTTTGGTTGTTTATGGCACTTTAAACCAGTGCTGAGACTAATACACACCTTTAGAGATGCCAAGTCAAGTCCCCTCACGGCGTGTAAAGCTCAAGTCCCTCAGCCCAGGTGGTTTATAACAGGAAGGCGATGTCATCTCACTCCACTCATCTGTACGCCCTGTCACTCCCGCTCCCCGTGGCAGTTGTCACTCACTAGTGGCCACCGTATTTGGTCAGGGGGTCCCCTGAGGAAGGGAGACGCAGGGAGGATGTTCTTCCATGTGGTTCCTTCCTTTTCGTTTTTCTTTCTTTCATTGTATCCCAGTGTTGACACTATCCCAGTGGTGGTGTGCCCCCACCACACAGCTGTGAGGGAGAAGGCTGCCTGAGAAAGTGCCCACAGCCAGGGGACAGGCGCGCTGTCCACCCCTTCTAGGACTGCTCACAAGTGGAGGGAACTTGGAAGAGTCATTCTACCCTGGGAAGCGTGTCAGACTCTGCCTGCCTTTGTGGGCCATCTACTTCAGGAACACAGCCTCCCACATAATCTGTACAACTGGCTGTGACAGCCGCCTGTCAAGCACACAACCATCTGTTCGCACAGGAAGGCCTTAGCACTTCCCGGGAGAAGCTTCTGGGAGTGAAGTGCCCATGTTGGTATTAGACAGTCAAATGCAAGATGTCTGACCTTCACTCTCGCTTTAGGACGCAAAAAACTACCCCACCAGTGAATGGCTTTACTTTACTGCAGCTTTACTGCAGGCTTTGGGAGAAGTGATAAGAGGCTGTTAAATGTTGGGTGATTCAAATCACTGTCACTGGAGACCCCCTTGCTCTATTTGGATTCCTCTTCACATCCTCCAGTCAAAACTTACTGACGTTTCAAAGTCCACCACTAGTATGTCAGAATTAAGTGATTTCTCTTCTGAGCTTACAGTTTGTTACTTATTTGTATGTCACTTGTTACTTACCTCCTAGCTTTATGGCTGCTATGTCTCTGTTAAAGCTAAGAATAATAAGTACATAAAATGCACTCAATTTTAAAACTGTAGAAGAAATGAATTAGAAAACGAATGACATTTGTCATCTCCATCCACAGTAGTTTTACTAACAGCACAGAGGCTGGCTTGTTCACAACACCCTGAAAAAAGATCTTGTTGGAACTGAAGAGAAACTTCATAATGATAAGTCTGAGACAGGAAAGATTTGGGGGCTGGGTGGATCTCGGTATAAGGTCAAAGTAGAGCTTGGTAAGCACCCCAGGCTTTCCGGTTGGGGCATCTAGGAAGTGTCAAGAGTAGTGATTGCATTTCATGTATAACAGATAAATAGTTTTATAACCCTTCAACTCATTTGGATTATATCCATGCACAGATACACATACATTTACCTGCCTACACCAGTATAAACGAACTAATAACAAAAGTAACGTGTGACCTCCATAAACAGTGCTAATAGTAATCCAACTTTTGATTTTGATAATTAGTGATGAGGACAACAAAACTCCTCCCTATTTTTCCTATTGCCTTTGTATATCATAACACGTCTTTATTTATAGGAAACTGAACCTATAAATGTGAAGGAAATAAGAAATCTAGAAAAGTTGCCATTTCCACCCTTAATAAAATCATTAATTCAGCGAACATTATGACCTGACCTTGCCTGTCATTTAGCACTACTAAGTAGGGGGAGCCATGCATTGTGTGGCTGCAGCGAGAAGGGAAATGGTGAACTTGAGCTGACCAACCCAGTAGAACTAAATTCCAGTTTCCGAAGGCATCAGAGGAAAACAGCAATGACTGTGAAGAAACATCCAGAATAGGGTTTCCTCCAAGACAGCTAGTCTGGGTTCTTCAACAAGTCTGGCACCAGGGAGAATAAAGAAGGTGGGATCTGCTCTGAAGAGGACTCTCAAGAGGCATAAGAGCTGGATGCAACCACAGAATGCTCTTGTTTAACTCAGTGCTGAGGGTGATGATTTTTATCATTCCTCTGGAAAATGAGAATGGGACAGATGACACCAGGAGACTGTCTCTGCTGTTGTGCGATAGCAGTATTTGGTTACCTTAAGAATTCTCCATTTTTTAGTAGAAAATCCTACCAGGGTATAGTGGTCAGATAGCACTAGTGTTGTGAATTCACTCATGTGCATTAGCGTGTCGAGGAGGGCCTGCACAGAAATTAGATGAAGGATAAAACATATTGATGCCTGCTACGTCGGGATGAAAAGATGACATGAATTATGTCATTTCTGTACTTTTATGCATGATTGCAAATTTTTCTGATAAAAGCTAATTTAAAACAGAATGCATTTTAAGAGGTCGAAAATTAAATTCAGTGCCTTTGATAGGATTAATCCTACATGTGACTAAATGTCCCCAAAGAGCCTTTCTCAAGCACTGTCCATTCCTATTGTATAAAATAATTTGGGATCTAAATTTATTAGAACTGTAAATTTCACCCATTTTCAGCCTACAAGTCAATGATGGTAGAGTTGAAATATAAAGTATACACACATACGGACATGTTTAGTTCTACACCATCGTATCTTCCAATTTTAGGACATTTCCGTCACCCAGAGATCACTGTTACCCACTAGTAGTCGAGTCCAATTTCACTGCCGGCACCAGACAGCCACTAATCTATTGTACCACTACAGACTCGCATTTTTTGCCTATTTAACATAAATATAATCACAGAGTGTATGACTTTCTAGCACGATCGCTGGAGATTCGCCCGTGCTGTGACATTCTCGATGGTTCTCTCTTCTTCGCTGGTGTGTAATGCGCCCTCGCCCCTGTAGTGCTGTGTGACTTAACGTCTTCAGCCCACAGCAGGCTGCACGTAAGGCCGTGCGTGCTCGTAGTAGGCTGGAGCCATAGTCGCAGCTGCCATCAGACTGGGTGGTTACACGCTGTGACAGTCACACAGCGATCACCCAGGATGCAGCTCTCGGAAAGTATCCCTGCCACGGAGGGACGCGTGACTCGACGCCTGTGGTTCATCCACGCACTCAGTGGCCGACTTGCAGGTAGTTTCCATTTCTTCGCCAGCACCAGTCACCCTGCTGGCAACGGTTGTATACAAGCCGTTGAGTGAACACAGGTTTTCATTTGTCAAGGGTAGAACTGTAGGGGTAGAAATTAAGTAAATTCAGGTGCCATGCCCTCTGTCCTTGTGTCCTAGAGGTCAGCGTGGCCCTCATGTGTGCTCTAGACAGGAAGTTAGGAGAGAGGGAACGGGAGACCGCAGACCTTGTTTTTCCATCTGGCTGGGGATCTGCACGTCTACCTTCTTCTTAGAACCGCAGAGACCCCTGGGCGCACCCTCCCTCCGGGCAGGCTGAGCTGCCGCCAGCCATCACTCCTGACCTGGCCCTTGAGCAGCTCGTTTGCGTCTCCCCCTCGCTCAGGAGTACAGACGGCGGAAAGCGGGCAGAAGGCACGTCGTCTTTTGCAGCAGCGTATCACAGGGGTCCCCTGGACGTTTTTGTCCGCTGTCTAATTCTTGCCTCCTCTTGACGCTGCACACCTTCAGCTCACCCTAGTGCCCCTCTCGGCCTCAGTCCCTGAGGCCCATCCAGAAGTCCCTTCCCTCCTCCTGCCAGCACGCACACCTGTGCACATTCGACTGTATCCCACTTTCTTTTCTTTTTGAATTTTTATTGACTTTTCAATGGCTAAAATGTTTGATTCCAATGTTTTCTTTATTACAACCAAGATGAAAAAATGAACAAAATGAAGAATGATGTAAAAATTTAAAAAAAAAAGAAAGAAAGAAAACTTAGTACGTGAAAAAAGAAGTCGGGTTCCCTCACCAGGCGCCACTCCGCCGTGCACCGGCCGCCCACCTGCCCACCCTCCCTCCCGCCCACCTGCGCTTGCTCCCTCCTTGTGCCCACCCGCCCCGCCTGGGCATGTGTTCTGAAGTCAGCTACCCAGGCCCAGCTTTTGAGCTCGCCTCTGACGCCTGGTTTGCTGCTTTATCGTCCGCACACGAGCGGCCACGCCGTCCTTGACCCCCCACTTAGGCCACGGAGCAGCGTCCCCCCCAGCCCCGCCATGCCGCTGCGCGGCCGGGGTTCAGCTGTGTGGGGCAATGTCCCGGGTGTCTAGACCGCATCTCCTGGACCCCTCGTCCGGTCGGGGCTCTCGGGGGGTTTCCGCAGTTTAGCCGCAGTGAACGAGGGTGTGCAGGTTCTCTAATTCTCTTCACTGCATTCTCTCCAAGCTAACCTTGTCCTGCCTGTTCATACACCGTTCCCCGCCCACACCCCGGACCAGGAGGCCAGCTCCGTGAGGGCTGCCGGCGCCCCTGTCCGTCCCGCACCCCCTCTGGGCTGGTCTGGATGGAGGGTTCGAGGGTGCTGTGGAGTAAATAAACAAACGGCTTCCTCACAGGTGACAGCTAGTGCTGCTGCTGGTGGTCTTTTAAAGGAAGCTGCCTTTTTTGGCTAGAAGACAGCCCGAAACTTGGCGGGAGCTGGCCAGTCTTGTTGAAGCACGCCGATGCTGGGTGCTCAGCAGGAGAAACAAGGTTGTCTGTGTCTGCCTTTTGCAAATCTGAGAAGAAGAAACTGAAGTCAGTAGGGCTTTTTTTCTGTTCATATGCAACATCTTCAAGATCCATATTAATATCTGGTGTGACTAGTGCAAAGAGATACGTGCCCTCCAGTGTCCGCTGCTCACTGTCCACAAAGCTCGAGTCATGGAAGCCACCTAAATGCCCTTCACCAGACAGTGGCTTAAGAAGATGTGGTGTATTTACATACAGATGAATACTATTTGGCTATGAAAAAGGTGACATTCTTCCTTTTGCAACCATGAGGGATATTATGCTTAGTGAATAAGCCAGAAGGAGAGAGTCACCGTATGGTTTCACTCACACGTGATCTATAGAGAAACTAACGTTAAACCAGCTAAACCAATTACCAAGCACCAGCTAATCCAAGTAAACATGAGCGCAGACTCCACAGTGTAGCTGGTGCAGTAATGTGTGGCGTGCCAGTTCTGCACAGGCCTTCATTACACCCTGGTTTCTCTTCAGAACTTGTGTCTCTCACCTTTGAGTGATTCAAAACAGCTGCTTCGACGCAGAGCCTCGTTTACTGCATCTAAGAGTCTTTCTTTTTCCTCTGCAGACCCAGCGAACTCGGCTCCATCCATCCTGGATGGTTTTGACCACCGCAAAGCCATGGCCGGGCAGCGTGTGGAGCTGCCCTGCAAAGCGCTGGGGCACCCAGAGCCAGACTATCGCTGGCTGAAGGACAACATGCCCCTGGAACTTTCTGGAAGGTTCCAGAAGACTGTGACGGGGCTGCTCATTGAGAACACGCGTCCCTCAGATTCGGGTGGCTATGTGTGTGAAGTGTCCAACAGATACGGAACGGCTAAGGCCATAGGCCGCCTGGACGTGAAACGTGAGTTGGACGGTGGCTTGCAGAGGCTGTGCTGGCCGCCGCACAGGGGCTCTGGTCAGGAGGGCGCGGCTCCGCACCTCCGTCCCCCTCAGGGCACGGAGGCCTGTAGCTAGCCCCGCCTTGGGGTGAGGACGTGGGCCCCAGAGCTGGCAGCGTGTGGCTGGAGCGGGCAGTGGGTGCTGTCCCCCAGGCTACAGGACGTGTGTCCAAGATGACACAGCCTGCTGCTGATGCAGAACAGCCCCCTCTGGCACTAGACACCGACGGGGGCGTTGGGGGGGGTGGGGTCAGGAGGGCTGCACAGGCCCGAGCTGGGGTCCTGTGCTTGACCTTAGCGGCTTCTAGAGCCATGTGACATTCTGGGGCACTAGCAGCAGTAGAGAAAGGGCCTCTAAGCCCCATGTGGGGGCGCGAGCTCGGGCTCCCGGGCCCCTTTTCCAAGCGTGGTGACACCTATTCCGACACGTGGTGGAGACTGTCTTGAGGCAATGCGGGAGGTGCTCCAGCAGGTCCTGCAGAAGCAGGGTGCGCAGGACACCCTCGGGGCCCCCCCCCACAGCCTGGGCCCCGCAGAAGCAGGGTGCGCGGGACACCCTCGGGCCCCCCCCACAGCCTGGGCCCCGCAGAAGCAGGGTGTGCAGGACACCCTCGGGCCCCCCTCACAGCCTGGGCCCCGCAGAGGCAGGGTGTGCTGGTAGGGACACCTGCTCAGTGGGCTCAGGCCTGGTGCAAAGCTTCTGCCTCGTCACTGGTCCAGATGCTGTTGAACGGATGTCCGTGTGGTGCCTTCATTTTCTTCTCTCCTTCCCCCAACCCAGAGCCACTGAAAGCCACCATCAGCCCCAGGAAAGTGAAGAGCAGCGTGGGCAGCCAGGTGGCCCTGTCCTGCAGCGTGACTGGCAGCGAGGACCAGAAGCTCTCCTGGTACCGGAACGGCGAGATCCTCAAGCCTGGCAAAAACGTGAGGATCACAGGCGCCAACCACGAAAACCTGGTCATGGACCACATGGCCAAGAGCGATGGCGGCGCCTACCAGTGCTTCGTGCGCAAGGACAAGCTGTCGGCCCAAGACTATGTGCAGGTGATCCTGGAAGGTCAGTGGGCCGCCAGCAGCGCAGGGCGGGCGGGGGGCGGGGGGGCGGTGTCCAGCTTCGTGTCGCCGCCTGACTTTTTTGGTTAATTCATGCTGTGACCGATTGACTCGTTCGTTCGTGTTTTACATCGTCGTCCATTTCCACGCCGTGTTTGCTTCGTTGTCTCAGGAGCAGCCCCGGGGAGTCCCCACCCCAGTTCTTCTTGCAGCAGGGGAGAAAGAGGGGAAGGGTCGGGACGCGAGGAAAGCGCCTGACTGTTCTGGCTCGGTCATTCACGTCAGGAGCCAGGGCAGGCAGAGGCACATTGTCGGGCCGAAGCTCCGTCGGCGACGTGACTCAACGTGCAGTTAGCGTGAGCCTCACTCTCGCTTGTGTTCAAAGCTCCCTCAAGGCAGCGGCCACGGGCCTGGGAGCACGGTCTTGCCGGCGACGCCTGCCCCAGCCCCGCCCTCCAGGCCCGCGTGGAAGACCGCGCCATGCTGTGCCTCTTCCACTCCGTTAGCGCCAGCTGCCTCCGAACCGTGACGACCACCGGAGTGACCCCAGTGTTACATGCCCGCCCGGGGGACATGCCCCCAGATGAGAACAACTTTGGGGGCAAAAGGAAGGACAGTTCGGTATTGGGCTTGCTGGAGTTAAGAAAGAAAAGGCCTCTCTGGTCAGGGCCAAACAGTCACAGCTTCAGGTGAATGGAATTTGTGAGGCTTTACCTTGGGGGCTAATAGACTCTCAGCAAGTTTCTCGTTTTCTTACTGCCCACCACACACTGTAATCTTCAGGCATCGGTCAGTAGGGAAAGGAGCTACCCAGGAAGCATTCAAGAGACATTGCTGCTCACCAATACTTGAAGCCGCTTTTATCTGTGTATTTGCGTGTCCTGTTGGAAATTGGAACTTTGTACATCATTTAAAGTGCATCCGTTATCATATGATTAAAATAACTCTGTGATACAGCCTAAAGGGAAAGAATAAAATCCATTTAAATATGGAAATAAGTTTCCCTCTGTCTTGACGATAAGAGAACATTTCTGTTATTACTTTTTTCACCTGAACTAATTTTCAAGAAAAAGCTTGCTTAGCAATGAGATTCCCGCTCTGATTCAAGCATTGCCTGTCAGTGTGCTTTGTAAAGCTGAAATGGAATTAGCCGAAGGCAGGGGCTCAGCGTGAACGCTCACACTGCTCGTAACGGTTAAGCATAGAAGGTGATCAGTCCGGAGCGTTCCGGTTGGCTAATGATGATGTGCTGTCGCCGTTCTTTTTAGTCACTATTTTTAGATTCTTTGTTGAAAACGGCGATTACCTAAGTCTCGTTACCTTGGCAACCATCTCGTGTGACGAAGGAAGCCTGAAGAGCGTATTGATAATCCATAGTGATGGCCAACGAGTTCAGGCTACCGGACAGTGACAGCGAGAGAGATCTCGGAGACGCTCAGGCCTCCCTGGGAAAGTGCTGTCTCCCTTCATCTCCAGAGAAGCCTGTCGCTTGAATTAAAGGGCAGAGGAGCACACGGAGTGTTCTCGCGGATTTATTTGTCACTTGTCAGGTCCCATTCAGGACAAGCAGCTTCAGCGAAAACGCACTTGCAAATCCATGTCTAGGCGCTGCCTTCAGACGGCGACTGACCAGTGTCCCCAATACACCGCCTAGCGTCCCACCGCTACGGGTGAACAGTGACTGGAAGAGCGCGAAGCTTGGCTTGGCCACCGATGCAGTGCCGGATCTGGTGTAGTTCCCACAGGCCAAGGAAAGAAGTGGAAGTCGGAAGAAACTGGAGTCTAACAAGTGTGAGTTCAAAATCAAAGAGGAATAAGTGGAACAGAGAATAAGGAAAAAGAAAGAAGAAGAGCAGCTGTTATTTTTGGCAAAGATAGCCCAGTATGTATCAGGTTAACTTCCAGAAGGTAAAGCTCTGACCTTCAAGAAAAACAAAGCTGTGCACTGACACTGAGGATATGTCCGAAAACAGGCAGACAGGATTTGAGCCTTGAAGAAGGGGGAAGGGTTGGCTGAGCTCTGTGCTGGTGCCACCTTCCTGAGAGGCACTCCCCAGGCCCTGTGGGGGGGCGGGGAACTAGAACACGAGGCTAAAGGCAGAAGAATGCAGTTTGAGGGGACTGAGGCGCAGTGAGACAAGGTCTGGGCTGTCAACTCCCCGCATGTTGAGGGGTGAGGGGGAATTCGGGAAGGAGACATAACAATGAAGAGACCAAAACTCAGACAATAGACTTCCTTGAATTACTGGGTTGATGTTTGAACTGCAAAAATATGAAAGAGAATCCAAGTGTGGATAAAAATATAGAAACATACAATCAATTAAAAATTTAAAAAACCCAGAATATTAAAAGCAGCAATCAGAAGACACAGTCGGCAGTAGAAGGAGACCTGAGCGAACCCTGGTGTTAGAATGAGCAGACAAGGGTTTCAGTGGATGTTCAGTAGCTTGAACATCCCATAAAAATATGGGAAAGACCAGCAAATAAAATAAAAAATGCAAGTCAATTGGTATAAAAAAATTTCACTTATCAACTAAATGGGATGTTGGAGAAGGAAGGTGAAAGGACCAATATGAGTTTGAAGCCTGGTGTTTGTGCATTACTCACTGACGTCCAGAGGCGAAGACCACAAAGAAGCCCTGGGGCCGGGTGAGACCATTATCAGATGTTCTAATGTACAGATAGAGGCTAAGAAAAATAGTCGAGAATGAGGAAGAGCAAATACTTGAGGCAATGATGGACTCTAGCTCCCAAATTTAGTGTAGTCATCGCTCCAAGAAACTCAGCAGACCACAAGAAAAATAAACACAAAGAAAATCACCTACAAGCACATCAGGTCAAGTTGATGAAAAGCAACGATAGATGGAAATACCTGTGATTCTGAGGGGCTCTTCACGCAGGGGACTCGCAATGGACATGATGGCGCTGCAGCAGACACTTTCGAAAACAGAAGAGAGTGGGACAAAATCTTCAAGTGTTGAAAGGGACTAAAAAAACCTGGGCTGTCATCCCAGACTTCTCTATCTAGACAAAACACTGCATGGAAGGCAGTAACAGAGGATGAGAGTGTGGGGACCCTGGGGCTCGGGTGTGGGTGCCTGCTCAGAGCAGCGGGCTCGGCGGCGACAGAAGCTGCCCGGAGGAAGGCGCAGGGGCGCGAGGCGGTGTGCCCGTTAGCAGGGGCTTGACTATCAGTCACCACAGTACAAGATTAGAGCTTATGACGTAGAACTAACCCAAAGGAAACATGACTTAAGATTATGTGTTACACAACACATACTTTTCATGAAGCCCTGCAGCCTTGGGATTAAGGTGAGATGTGCACATGTGTATATGCACGTTAACATTGGTTGCATGTGTATTATTCACACTGTGTCTTAGATGAAGTGCATCTCTTAATTGTAAGATGAGCAAAGCATTAAAGGTCAAACTTATCAGTGTATATTTAAGTCATTGGGTTAATGGAATCAGAGAAAAGCAATCGATGACCTCAGTCGATCCAAAGAAAAATCACACAAAAATATTCAGCAGCCACTCATGGTGAACATTTTTTCATCAGCACAGGATTACAGGGAACGTCTTTGGCCTATAAAAGCAGCTCTGAACAAGATGTAACTAAATATTTCGGCACTAAATGTTTTCCAGTTAAGGATGGAAAGCCAGACACACTTTTTTTCTTTCTGTAGAGACTCGTTTGTTTAGGAATTCAGGAGCAGCTTGCCTTCAAGGCAAGTGTGGCCATCCCAGTAATGATAACACTATGCAGGTAACAGCTGGTCTAGTCACATTGTACTAGAGATGCTGGAAAGGCATGAACGGGAGATGAAATGCACGTCGTTGGAAGGTGAACTTTCAGCTGCTTTTACCACAGGCTTTTCAGCTTACCTCGAAAATTACATAAATCGATAAATAATTCCTAGAAGCATAAGTTATAGAAATTCATAGTCCACAAAAACAATGTAGAGAATGGAATTGTGTTTCTAGACAGCAGGAACAAACAATTGGAAAATAAAATGTCCGTTTCCATCAGCATGAAACAAGATACTTAGGAAACATTTAACTACAGGTGTGAACTGTGGCAATTCACAAAACCATGCAGCGCGGCTAGTGAAAAATTGAGATGACCTGAAGACGTGGAGAGGTGTGCCAGAGCTAAGCACGGGAGCAATGAATATTCTCAAGCTAACTCTTCTTTCTGAAGTAACCACTGTAATCCCAACAGTCGTTGCAGGTTGGTTTTAACATTTGTGTGGAAAAATGATGTCCTACCGTCTAAGTCGATTTTAAAAATATATGTGTCTAAGAGAAGAACTGAGACTAAATAAGATAATCTTGAAAAAGAATAAAATGATGCTACACATAGAGCTTCCATACGACCCAGCAACCCCACTCCTAGGTATCTACCCAGAAGACGCAAAAACACTGATTCAAAAAGACACCTGCACCCCCATGTTTATTGCTGCTTTATTTACAATTGGAAAGGCATGGAAGCAGCCCAAATGCCCAAAAATGGATGACTGGATTAAAAAAGTGTGTTCCATATACACAATGGAATATTATTCAGCAATCAAAGAAGATAAACTCATGCCTTTTGCAGCAACATGGATGGAGCTGGAAAAGATCATGCTTAGTGAAGTAAGCCAGAAAGAAAAGGAAAAATACCGGATGGTTTCTCTCATAGCAGGAGTATAAAGGGCCAGTGGTAAAACAATAGTAATACTAACGAGTAACTGGATACCAGAGACATTCTACGGGGGTGGAGTGGGAATGGGATCAAAAACCGGTGGGTGGACTGTGGTGGTGGCACATGGGGGATTTGGTGATGGGAAGCCCACGGGGATGACAACTGAGATGGGAAAAATGATGCAAAAATAAACTATTATATAAAAAATGATAAACATGAAAAAGGAGGGCTCAAACCACTGGGCTGGAAGATTTACATAAAACTACATTTAATAAGGTGGGTATATTCCTTGTTAGAATTTAACAGATGGCCCGGAAATATGTCTGTGTTTCTGTAGGGTGAGTTGATTTTTAAAGCAACACACGACGTTCAGTCAGTAAAGCTGTACTGAAACTTCTCGGCTAATACATGAGTAGAGCAACGTCACACCTTATATTTGTGCAAAAGTATTTTGATAAATTACATATCATCATATAACACAAAAATCCCTATCTCTAAAAGGAAACATAAGAAATTTTCTCAATATTGTTGAGGTAGACAAAATCTTTCTTAGAACAGGGGAAGCACTAAAAATGAAAATGAAAACAGCCCATGGGCAGAAATACGTTATTTACACAACACACATTTCTACAGTCTGTGTACTGTCCACACGCGAGAGAACTGTTAGGTGTGACTGAATGGCCTTGCCTGACGCGTCAGACATGCCACCACACGGATGTGTGCGCGTGGGTAGCTGTCGCATGCCGACATTCAGTGTGGATAAAGGACAATGAGTCGGCGACGCACCAGCCGTCTAGTGAGTCAGATGCTTCACAGAAGGGGCCCACGAATGGCCAAGAAGCCCCGAAACAGCCTCACTTCCGTCTTGTTTTTACCCAAAATGCACAGACTGGCTCTAGTCACCGGGGACTACCAGGCAGACCCAGTTTGATGCCCGAGGACAAAGTCATTCTTCACAGCTGTCAAAATCAAGAAACACCAAGGAGACTAAGGGCTGCTGCAGGTGGAAGAGGAGACTGAGCGGGAAGGGCGGTCGCCGACTGGAAGCAGCAGCCGCGTGGGGGGTGGGGGGCGGCATCGTGGGGGCCTCTCGGAGCTCAGCCCCTTGTCCTGCGCCGCCCGGCCTGGAGGATGCCCCTGTGTGCCCACGGTGCGCTCCCTCACAGTGGGCTGGGAACTCCAGGAAGGGCAGGGAGCCCGGGGGAGGCATCAGGGCAGGGTGGGGGTGTGGTGGGGGGTGCTTGGCTGGAGGGAGCTGGGCGCGGGTGTGAGTTTTCTGCCGGCGTCATGGCTGCATCTGCGCGGATCTGTGGCCGGCACATTCCGTCTGTGCACCTGAGAATGGTGTTTGGGCGCACGGAAAGAGGGTTACCTCAGCCCAGTGTCCTCAACAGATAAAATAGACATTGAGCTTTCAGAGCGCAGAAAGCAGTGCAGAGAAATGTAGGTCCAACCGCACCCGAACCTGGGGCAGAGCACACCCCGAACTGGGGCCGAACCCCTCACTGCCCAGAGGCCACGGCGCCTGTGCACAGGGCCCGCAGTTCCCTGGACACCCTCTGGCTCCTAGGCCAGACGAAGCGAGGAGTGTGCCGAGTCTGCGCCTGAGGGCGGCGGCAGTTTGCACTGCAGCCTTACAGAGCTCTTTGCTTTGTCTTTGATGGCGAAGGGCACGTGTCACCCAGCGACGCTGAAATGCGCCTCTCATGAATGGTTCTGGAGAAAATGCACACTGAGCTTTCTCAGGCGCCCAAACCTAGTGAGGAAGGCGCTATGACTCAGGATTTTTTTTAAAGATTTATTTAGTCATGCACACAGAGCTAGGGCACATGCGAGAGGCCCAGGGGCGGTGAGGGGACTCCCCAGAGACAGCGGGGAGCAGGACAGGCAGATCGAGGAAGCACACTGCCGAGGGAGCAGCGGGCGGGTCAGGAGAGGGCTGCTGAGCCCTGGGGTCACCTCCGGGGCAGGCGGGGATCGAAGTCCATCCCCTAATTCAGGAATTTGATGCAAACTCTGGGTGAGGGCTGTGGGAAGCACCCCAGCATCGCCCCCCAGTCTGAGACCCTCACACAGCTAGACCAATTGGCTGCAGAACAGGCTCAAGGTTTGGGCGCAGTGAGAGACCCTCTGGCGGGACCTTTCTCGCTGGAACCCAAGTCATGCCCACGTCTGCCCCGTTTCTTGTGGTTATTTACACTTGCAGTTTTCCACAGTGCGTGTGTGCGTGTGCACACGCGTGTGTGTGTGTTCTGGAGCTTCTAGAATAAAAGTGAGAAACTAAAAATAATCTGCTCACCATCTCTCAGCAGAGGACTAAGCCTTAAAGGGAAGACATAATGTATTTTTGGAAACTCCTTAGGTGGTGAGGACACCGTGGGTGGCCACACCAGCGGGAAACATTCTACACTGTAAAAAATAAGCAATGGTGATCAAAAAATAACATACCCGTGGGGCTTCCTATTGAGATGGGAAGTGATGTAAAAATAAACTATTGAATTAAAACAAAAAAGCTAATACCGCCTCTCCTCCAGTCGGCTTAAATCCAACCTCAGAAATCCTGTCGCATTCGGTCGCCACTTGTCAGAGCTACTCACTTCCGCCTCAAAAAATGAAGAGATATCGCCATTTTTAAAAAGATTTATGCATAAAGAGCTGGGGTACAGGGGACCGGATGAGCAGACTCCCCAGACACAGAGTGGGGAGCAGAACAGGCAGATCTACTGAAACCCACTGCTGAGGGGGCAGCGGGAAGACAGGAGGGGTCTGCCGCGTCCTGGGGTACCCCCTGGCCGGGGATCGAACGCACGCTGCAGGGGCTGGACAGCCTCACAGTGCGAGACTGAACCCCTTGCACCGGCGGAGGGCCCGAGTGGCCATTTTGACCTAAATTCCCGAGCCCAGTAGGCCATACCTCACTCTTCTTTTGTTTTTCATTTAAAAAAGTTATTTCTCTCTGTGCTCTCGGTGGAGAGACAAATGGAAGTACACACTTGCGGTCACACCCCCGGCTGTCCCTGCTCCCACTGCTGCCCTCATCCTCATGCGAGGGAGACAGTCCACAGACATGACAGAAAAATACTGAATATGGAGATTACATCTTGGTTGAAAATCTTCCTGCACATTTGTTGCACATTTCCCTGAGACTAAATTCCTAGTTTGCCCAGGCCAGTCTTGGGTCCTGTCTGATCTCCCGGCATCATTATTTGAAATACCGGTTCTCAGGTGTCCCCTGGTGGAAGTAAAGAACCTGGCAGCCCTTTTTGAGGCGCTTGCAGACATGTTTAGTGCGTGCGGGAAGGGTCAGACTGCATTTAGCTTCTGCTTCTGAAGCTGTCCTTAGAGTTTTCATAGAAATTGATACGCACTTACCACTTGCCGTTCAAACCAGACAATGTCATTTCTTGTGAGAAAGTGATAGAGATGAGATCACCTGGCTCCGTTCGGCTCTTCAGCCCTTTAAGCAACTCCCTGGTGAGCGCTCCCTCATTATGCGAGAGGAGTGGGAAGCTGAGGCGGTGCCTGTGGCTTGGCGGGGAGTCTGGGCTGCGGCCTCTGGGGCCCGCCCCTGGCTGCTCTGAGGGTCTTGCGGTGCCATGCACCTGCCCAGGCGCTCCCGTTGCACTCTGTCTGCAACTGAGCGGTCGATAAACCCAGACGTTGGGGTAGAATTTAATGGCCACTGCCGCCCCCCAGCCCCTAAATAGCCGGACTGCTCGCTCCATTAGCTGCGTGTACCCCTTCCTCCCCTCCTGTCTCCCCGCAGACGGAACGCCCAAGATCGTCTCTGCCTTCAGCGAGAAGGTGGTGAGTCCCGCGGAGCCCGTTTCCCTCATGTGCAACGTGAAGGGCACCCCGCTGCCCACCATCACGTGGACCCTGGACGACGACCCCATCCTCAAGGGCGCCGGCCACCGCATCAGCCAGATGATCACGTCGGAGGGCAACGTGGTCAGCTACCTGAACATCTCCAGCTCCCAGGTGCGCGACGGAGGCGTCTACCGCTGCTCGGCCAACAACTCGGCGGGAGTCGTCCTGTACCAGGCTCGAATAAACGTAAGAGGTGCTTGTCAAATCAGCTCCTCAAAAACACTCCTGACTCGCTGTAGTGGAGAAGGCTCTGCCTGCGCCGGGTGGAGTCCCGGACCCCCGCGGCGGGGCCGCCCCACCTCCCCGCCTGGACGCCCCTCGGCCTCCGAACCGGTCTGGTCTTAGTGAGCGCGTCCTCTTCTGGCTCCACCCTTCGACGGCCC